AGTTCTTTCTTTGAAGGTCTCATTCCGCACTATACAGACGTAGACCACATTTCCTGCATAGTAACTTGAACCTCTGCAAGGACCTATGAACTAGTCAGAAACATAAAGGTAAGTGTATGTGAATTCACATGACAAAAGATACAAAACTATTCCTGACATTCTATCATTACCCTGGCTTATAAGACATTTGAAAATCAACTTCAATTGAGCACAATGACTATACCCTATGGAGGACTTTAGGCTTATACAAGAATGGTAACTTTTCTGCACGAGGGCCAAAAATCCATTTTACAAAATATCTTCCCTGGCCTTGGAGTGCTTTCTACTCAGGGCCTGGGTACTGTCCCTGGGCTTCGGTAATAAAGGGACAAAATTGTTGACAGTCTATCAACTTGATTCACGGCACTACTTGTAAGAAATTTGATGATAATGGGCCATAACACTCTCACAGCAAATCCTACCTCGTTTGCCTTTCAATTGTGATCTTTAAACTTCATACTCTTTAGCAAGTAAGAATTCTGATGTGAAGCACCAGTGCCCTGTTAGATCAGGAGATCTTAATTACTTGATCCAAGCAGGACTCATGGTGTCCACACTACAGGATGCAGGTCCTTTTGCAATCACTTGGTAAAGGATTGTTTACTTATCATTCTGTAAACCATATCCAAATTCTTCCACTAAATATTTGGAAGAATGTATTGTTTACACAGATCATATTATTGGTCCTCAGGTTGAATTCAGGGGCCAAAATTTGTGAGGCTTCCTTTACCTTCTATACCAGATGCCCTTTTGTATCACTGATTTTTCACCTTAGGGTCTTGCTTCTCTGCCTGGTCCTTTCCACACACTAATTTTATAATTACCTTTCATAGGTAGTAAAAAAAAGATAGGCACATATGACCAGAGCCATGCTTTTATTGGCTAACATACCATTTTCATGAAGATTTTGCATGGGATAGCCTACTAATACTATTAATTTCAGCTTCCTGAGTAGCTAGGATTCCACACATGAGGGAGTTTAATTGCTCATTTTTAATTACTGGTCTTAAATTAAAAGAAGGAAGTGTATTTTACCCATTCAGTGAGTATTAAGTCCCTTAAATTCTGAGTTCAAACAAAGTGTTGGCCAAATGATAATAACAAAAATAATACAAAACATTAATATTATCATCAGGCATACTTTAAATGAATGTGGTATGTTGGTTCATAATTTGAGCTATATAACAGGCCTAGGTAGGACTCCAGTCTGTGAACCATCCCTTCTCAGAAAGCATAGTTTGTAAACATGAGAGAATGAGCGATTTCCAAATTGATGGTGTGTGTGTGTGTGTGTGTGTGTGTGTGTGTGTGTGTGTGTGGTACAAGTAGGAAGGCCAAAGGCACACACAGGTGCCTCCCAATCCCCCTATTTATTTTTACTAGGCCTCTGTAGATAAGTAGAAGTGTTGGGCTGGGAAGTTGGTTCAATGTTAGAGCACTTGCCTTTCATGCATGAGGTCCAGGGATCAATTCGCCAGCACCACAAAAACAAAAAGAAAAAGAAAGCTGGAAGTGGCCCTGTGGCTCAAGTGGTAGAGTGCTAGCCTTGAGCTGAAGAGCTGAGGGACAGCACCCATGCCCAGAGTTCAGGCCACAAGACTGGACCTCCCCACCCCACCCCCTCAAAAAAAAAAGCAGAAGGGTAAATAGTGTGAGGGAAGAGGTTAAGGGAGCAACTAGCTAAATCTTACAATGTGAAGTCCACTGTCCTTATCTTGTAAATGGAATCATAGGCAAGATTTAAGGATTCTTTTTTTATTGTGAAAATACTGTAAAGAGGAGTTTTATTTTTGAACAATTGAAATACTGAAATTGTTGAAGCCACAAGCCTCCTGTTCCCAGAGGGAGATTTCTTCAGGACAGCCCACAGGGCTCATGCTTTGATTCCTAGCTTTTATGGAGGCCAAGATGAGAGAATCTCCATTGAAGCCAGCTCCCGCTGGCTTCAACTCAGTTCCTGAGTTCAACACCTGATATTGGAACAAAAAAAATTCCTTCATGAAAGTGTGAAAGTAGAGCTCTTCATGTAACCAAACAGCTCTGGACATATGTAGAATGATTGGCTTATATAGGATCTGGAGTCTTGGTCTTGGTTTACTAATTAAGCACTTTCTGATGTAACAGACATTTTTTCTAAATGCTTCCAAGATATCTTTAATTGCATAACTATACAATGGCATCTATCTTGGCTCCAGAAATTCTAATGTTAGGTCAACTTTTGTGTTTCTGTAAAAGAAGACAGTATATTTGTTGGAAGCCACATTATGGAAGATGGAATACTGGAGTCTATTACACAGCTAACAGTCTGCAAGCAGCCTGTTGTAACAAAGACTTGCAGTCCACAAATACACTTAGACAGCTTGGAAACAGAACAGAAAGGAAAAAAAAGAATAATAACTACACTAAGAAACCAATCAGCACCAAGAGAGTGATGAATTGGGACACTAGGATGACCAGAGACAAGCCAGGAGACAGGACACAGGACATGATCACAGAGACATGTGGCATGGCATCTAGTGTCACTGCTGCTCCAGCCTAAATAGGGCCTAAGCAGGAGGCAGGGCTACAGGAAATTCCCAGTTCCACAAACTGAACTAACAGATTGAGTAACATATCAGACAAATGTCCATGCCTGCTTCCAGGGATCCAGCCACACCCATCATTTGGGAGGCAAGTGATGGATGGGGCATTTCCTTCCCCCTGCATGAAGACAAGATGCCAGACCTCACTGTCCACCATGTGGCCAATAAGGCACCAGCCACACCTGACCTCCTTACTTAATATTACTGAATATTAAATCAATTTATAAAATGATACATCCTCTTTATCGTTTTGTAAACAATTCAAGAATTTGCTTTTTGTAAAAGCCATTTTTCTTGAGCCACACCTCTGAAAGAATAATTCTCCCATTCACCAAAAATTAAACATTCTTCTTTTGAATAGTTTATTTCTTACTTCTTCCTCATTCTTTCCCTTCCTCTTTCCCTTTCTCACTTCTCTCCTTCCTTCTTTCCTTCCTCTCAGGGCCTAGAAGTGATGCTGTAGCTCAAGTGGCAGATAGTATTTATTTCAATTTTTGTGAGATTAATATCTTTGTGTGCTTGATTATTTCCACTAATGTCATATCTTACATTGGCCATCTATGAGATAACACAGTTGCGACACACCATTCACACTGGTGTTTTATTATAGCTCACTCAGCAGAACAACTAAATGGGCTAAGAGTGAATCAATCACCAGTGATTGTTCATCACCAGTGATTAATTAAATAAAACAGCAAGCACTGAAGATATTTTGAAGTTTTCCCCCAAGTCAAAATGCTGAGACTCTTGTCTTTATAAATCCACCATATTTTTATAATATATATTTTATTGTAAAGATACTGTACAAATTGGTTATACAATTATATGAATTAGGTCATGAATACATTTCCTATCGAGCATTGTTACCCCTCCGAGAAAAAATTTACTACTATGTATGTACTGCAATAAGGACTAATATCTTCCAGTAGATCTTCCATTCAATAACTGAATGTTAGTCATTTGTACAGTAATGCTGGATCACACAAATAGAGGAGGACTTAAGGGAGCAATAGAAAAAAAGTTGCTCTCATGTTCTTGCCTCCAATCATAACAGTCTTCACTCAACTATTGTTCCCCTAACCATGTTGGAGATGATCTGAATCCAGTCCCAAAGGGAAAGACCTCATATTTCTTAGAAGAGATTATCAAATTACCCTAATATACCATTCCTTATTATAAAAGATGCAAGTTAATAACTTCAATCTCTGAATTACTTGTTATAACTGGTCATTTCCACATGTTTGGATAATATTGAATGACACCATCCCCACTCAACACGATGAAAATGTGAGAAATGTTGGCTCAAAAAGAGTTGAAGAGTGAAGAATGGTTTTCCATCACACCTAGCTTATCTCTGCGATGAAGGATTTCTCTGTATAATTTACACAGGTTTTCTGACAAAGATTTTCCTACAATGGGTTTCTTTCCTGGGTGAATGTTCTAATACTTGCTGAGGGTTGTCTTCTGGTTGAAAGACTTCCTCTCATGTTTATATTTACAGAGATTCTGTCATGTGTCCAGGTCTCTAATACCTGTTCAGATTTGACTCCTGGCAAAATGTTTTCTATACTCATAATTTCTTACCTGTCTATGCTCTCACATATGCTGAGGACTCACTTCTGATTGAAAGTCATTTCACGTATGATCTATGCACTACTTTCTTTTCTCCTATGTGAGTCAGTTCTCTGATGAACATGAGGTATTCCTTTCTGATCAAAGGATTTCCACATTTGTAATATTTTTAAGATTACTCTGCTGTGTGTCCTATGAACTTGGATCCATGAATACTTGGTAAAGGACTTTCCACAATTGTTACATTTGTATTTTCTCACCTGTGTCTGTTCTCTGATGCAAACTGAGTTAGGACTGTTTCTTGAAAACCTTTCCATTAATTTTTGCTACATAGGATTTCTCTCCTCTTTGAGTGTGAGGTTGTGTGTTTGTGTGTGTGTGTGTCTGTGTGTTTTGTGTGTTCTATGATGAACCCTCAGTTGTATCTTGTAGTTAGAGGACTCCACATGTGCTATATCATAAGGTCTCTATCCTGTATAGGTTCTGTATTGCAATTTTAATTTTCTTACAGATCAAAGACTTTCCCATTTGGTACAATCCTAAGTTATTTCATTTGTGTGAATCAACTTATGTGTGTTAAGCTATGACCTCCAGGTCTTTCCACACTGGTTGCATTCATAAGGTTTCTCTCCTTGTGTTCTGTGATGGATGTTATGGTGTGCCTTCCAGGTGAAAGAATTTCCATGCCTGCTATATACATAACATTTCTCTCTGGTGGGGTTTTTTCTGATGCACAGAAAGGTGTATGTTTTGGGTGAAAGACTTTCCACATAGCTTACATTCATAAAATTTCTCTCTTGTGTGTGCTCCCTGATGGACAGTAACTTGGAGCTCTTGGCTGAAATATTTTCCACACATATGACATTCATAAGGTTTCGTTCCTGTGTTTGTTTTCTGATGGACAGTAAGGTTTGATTTCTTGGTGAAAGACTTTCCACACATGTTACATTCATAATGTTTCTCTCCTGTATGTGTTCTCTAATGGACAGTAATGTGTACCTTCTGGGTGAAAGACTTTCCATACACGTTACATGATAAGGTTTCTTTCCTGTGTGTGTTCTCTGTTGGACAGTAAGGTTTGACTTCTTGGTGAAAGACTTTCCACACATGTTACATTCATAAGGTTTCTCTCGTGTGTGTTCTCTGGTGGACAGTAAAGTGTAGCTTCTGGGTGAAAGACTTTCCACACACGTTACATTCATAAGATTTCTTTCCAGTGTGTGTTCTCTGGTGGACAGTAAGGTGTGCCTTCTGGGTGAAAGACTTTCCACACACGTTACATTCATAAGGTTTCTTTCCTGTGTGTGTTCTCTGGTGGACAGTAAGGTTTGACTTCTTGGTGAAAGAATTTCCACACACGTTACATTCATAAGGTTTCTTTCCAGTGTGTGTTCTCTGGTGGACAGTAAGGTGTGCCTTCTGGGTGAAAGACTTTCCACACACGTTACATTCATAAGGTTTCTGTCCTGTGTGTGTTCTCTGGTGGACAGTAAGGTTTGGCTTCTTGGTGAAAGAATTTCCACACATGTTACATTCATAAGGTTTCTTTCCAGTGTGTGTTCTCTGGTGGACAATAAGGTGTGACTTCTGGGTGAAAGACTTTCCACACAGGTTACATTCATAAGGTTTCTTTCCTGTGTGTGTTCTCTGGTGGACAGTAAGGCTTGATTTCCAGGCAAAAGACATTTTACACATGTTACATTCAAAAGGTTTCTCGCCTGTGTGTCTTTTCTGGTGGACAGTAAGCTGTGACTTCTGGATGAAAGACTTTCCACACATGTTACATTCATAAGGTTTCTTTCCTGTGTGTATTCTCTGATGGACAGTGAGAATTGACTTCTGGGTGAAAGACTTAACACACATGTTACATTCAAAAGGTTTTTCTTTTGTGTGTGTTCTCTGGTGGACAGTAAGCTTTGATTTCTGGGTGAAAGACTTACCACAGATGTTACATTCAAAACGTTTCTCTCTAGTATGTGTTCTCTGGTGGATAGTAAGGCATGCCTTTTTGGCGAAAGACTTTCCACACATGTTACATTCATAAGTTTTCTCTTCTGTGTGTGTTCTCTCATGGATAGTGAGGTTTGACTTCCAGGTGAAAGATTTTCCACAAATGTTACATTCATAAGGATTCTTTCTTGTGTGCGTTCTCTGGTGGAGAGTTAGGTTTGACTTCAAGGTAAAAGACATTTCACACATGTTACATTCAAAAAGATTCTCATTTTGGTGTCTTCTCTCATGGACAGTAAGATATGCCTTACTGGTGAAAATCTTTCCACACATTTTACTTTCATATGGTTTCTTTCCTGTGTATGTTCTCTGAGGGACAATAGGGTGTGTCTTCTCGGTGAAAGACCTTTTATATTGTTTATATTCTTCAACTATAGAAGACAAATGAGGACTATATACAGCACACATCTTACCAGGTTCACTGAAAACACTCATGTTCTGATTCCCAGTGACCTTTTCTGTCCTCATTCCTAAGGAGTTCACATTATTCTTAATCAGTTCTGACTTCTGTTTTGAGCTCAAATTAAAACTTTTTATAAGTCTCACTTTTTCCTCCCCTGGGTTACTATTCATGACTGCTACTTCAGAGAGATATTTATTGTGACTTTCCTGACAGGTGCTAATCACATCCTCCATTTGTGGGACATCTAAAATGCATAACAGAAAAATAGACAAAAACATAAATGAAGTCCATAAATTCCTTACTGTAAAGGTATTTTCTCACATTTTAAGTGTTACAAGATTTTCAAATATCAAAGCATTGTTTTCTGCAGAATATAAACTTTTCTCTGCAACATACTAACTATGAATGTAGTACTGACATTTTACAATGGAAAATAATGTTTTTCTGTATTTCAGATTTTTCTATTTTTTTCTAGGAAATATTTACTCAAATTGTTCATCTACATACTCTTAATGCTTCCATTCTGAATGTCACTCTATGCCCAGCACAACTCATAAGCTATTGTCCTGATGAGAGAATAGCAGCACTACCATTCTCCTATTTTCCTCCTACCTGCATAATACTAGTTTAAAAGAAAATGAGATCTCCTTTTGTACATGTCCTATTGTCTTTTTCTCTTAAACAATGACTTCTCTACAGACAAGGAGAGTTGCTAATATTAACTACAATGGCACACCAAATTCAGTTTGTCCCCAGTGAATTCTGGATTGACAAGAATACTATTGCTCTGTACAGCTCAAGATAAACAGATCAACTGGGCTCTGGACCCATCATTAGCATTGTAGATGCTTTAACTCACCTGTGAAATTCTTGTCTGAGGCTTCTCTTATCCATGGTTCTGAACCTTGCTCCAGCCTCACAATCAATTCTGGTTTAGGTACACAGAGCCCTATGAATAAGAAACAGTGGAGAACAATTTGTCGTGCTGGGTCATCATTAACATAAGGTCGCAGACATCCTGTTCACAAGGTTGCTCCTAAATGTGGTTCCTCAATTGTTGTTGTGGGGGCAGTCTTGTTGTGGGACCTGAACTCTGGTCCTGGGCACTGTCCGGCAGATCTTCAGCTCAAGACTAACACTGTATCACATGAGCCATAATGCCAATTCCGGCTTTTATTTTCTGCTTATGTGCTGCTGAAGAATTGAACACAGGGACTCATGCATGGAAGGCAATTCCTCTACCACTGAGCCAACTTCCAAACCCATGGTTTCTCAATTCTTAACTGCTCCATTGTGGAGTAGAATCCACCTTTGGGTTTATTTTGCCAACTGCATGGCTTGAACTCAGCTCTTTTGCTAAAAGCTAGCATTCTACTAGTTTGAGTCTTCACTACGTTTCTAGTTTTTGAATGGTTAATTGGAGATAGTCTCATGGTCAATTTTTTACAGCTGCTGGTTTCAAACTGAAACCTTCAGATGTCAGCCTCCGGAGTATCTAGGATTTGTAGCTTGAACCACTAAACCCTGTATCAGGTTTGGTTTACAAATACACACTTTCACCTACTGATTTCCAGAGCATACTGTCAGTAGTAATGTATGTTCTATTCTAGACTCTAGATCCACCTATAATAATTACCCAAGTCTAGGAAGTCAGTCTCCTATTAGTAGATCATAGCTTAGAACTATTGTCCAAATACTGATTTGCCTTCTTAAAAAACGAGAATAAAATTAGCTCTTGTGTTACATATAATGAAGTTGAAGTTTCCCTTAGAAAAAAATGACACTTCCCATGGCCTGCAATCTTTTTTTTGAAAATGTAATGGTCCAAAGGCTTATACCTGTAATCCTATATTTAGGAGGTGAGATCAGAAGAGGCAGGTTTGAAACCAACCTGGGCACGGAAACACAGAATATACCCCAAAACAAAAGTGAAAATAGAATTGTGGCTCAAGCACTAGTGTGAAAGACAAACAACACCAAGCTCTCAGACTCAAATTTGACTGGCTTTTATACCAGCAGTTTTTTACCTGGGAATGGACTGGAATCTTCTCCCTAAGTAACATAGTCTAACGTCTACTAAAATAAAAGCACTCGGGGCTGGGAAGGTGGCTCAGTGGTAGAGCGCTTGCCTTGCATGCATGAGGCCCTGGGTTCGATTCCTCAGCACCACATAAGCAAAAAGAAAAAATCCGGAAGTGGCACTGTGGCTCAAGTGGTAAAGCGCTAGCCTTGAGCTGAAGAGCTGAGGGACAGTGCCCAGGCCCAGAGTTCAGGCCCCATGACCGGACCCAAAAAATAAAAAATAAAAATAAATAAAATAAAAGCACTTGATCTTCCAAGTAAAAATAACCTTTGCTCACCCAAGAACATGAGGTTGCTATAGGTCTCCAGCATTACATCTCTATGAAGGGTCCTCTGACCAGGATCCAGATCCTGCCACTCTTTCCAGGTGAAGTCCACAGCCACATCATCAAATGACACCAGCTTCTGTAATGGCACATTTCCATCAAGAAATTAGACCTGGGTTATGAGAATTCCAACCTGGAATTTCATTATGCTGCATGTATACTTTTGTCTTACATAAAATGTTTGCAGCTACCTTTGTTATCTATTCATTGGGAGAATTAAATACCAAACTAGAAATATTTGACAATACATAAACCTGGTCATTAAAATACTCAGATTTGTGGGGCGCTGGTGGCTTATACCTGCAATCCTAGCTATTCAGGAGGCTGAGGTCTGAGGATCAAGGTTCAAGGCCAGCCCAGGCAGGAAAGTCCATGAGACACTTATCTCCAATAAACCACCAGAAAATGAAAGTAGCACTGTCACTCAAGTGGTAGCACTCACCTTGACTTGAAGAGCTGAGGGAAAACAACCAGACCCAGAATTCAAGCCCCAAGACCAATAAAAAATTACAGTTTCCATAATGCATGCAATCACATTTCTGCTGCTAGCAATAGAGACAAGATAAAAACTCTAAGGAGACAATAATCTGGCATGATAACATTAAGTCTAAGGAGGTGTCTGAAAAATTATATTATCATTTTTGATAAAATTTCAGTACATACCAGGGTAAAAATGAATTAAACCAATATTTTTCCTGCATTTACACATACTGCTTCACCATAAATCCTATTTAGACCTTCTATTAACAAGTACTCTCAAAAGCAAGCAGCACACATTCAGAATATCACATGGAATACAGAACATAGAGCATTGCTAGATCTATGAAAAGCAGTGTCCACATGAATGTTCAAAAAACAGTAACAGTACTCCAGAAAGTAACTAATGATTGATTAGGCCCTTATAAGATTTAATTGAGTTCCCACATAAAAATATCCGTGGTTTACCATGTTTGGTTTAAATGCTAAATATTGAAATGTGGTCATAGATACCCTGATATTTCCTTCTTATGTAGAAAAGAACTGCTACCATGAAATTTTGTGAACTTTGCCTACATTCTACAATACAAAATATAGGTGGGAGGGAAAAAAATGTTCCTTGACAAGGTTTTCATTTTAATAGGCCTTCATGGAAGGTGAAGGCAAATATAGAGAGGCTCAAGGGACACTCAAGATGACAAAAATGATAAATATGACCAAATGCTCAAACGCATCACATATTCTTGAATCCTTTCTCCAGAGTATCTCTAAGGATATATTTTCACTTGTGTTAGTTAATAGTGAAATACCTCAGAGATCAAAATCAATTAGTGAGCAAACATCTGTGAGATTTTGCGGCAAGTGATATTTCTAATTGAGAACATCTTGTCACTGTATTTTTTTTTTTTCAACACTAGTTCCAATCTTATACTGGCAGTGAATTAAAATATTCAACAGTAGTGGGATGGAAAAACAAAATTAAATACCACATCAAATGAAGTTAGACCAACACAAAATCAGGAGAAAACAGATTTTCTTGTAGTGTATCAATTGGTAGAAGGAAGTACTTTTCTGTAGGGAACTCTGAAGTTGGCTGAAGGGAAAAAGGTTTGAGAAGTTGGAATTCCAGCCTGACAGCACTGAGAGACGTGAGAGCTGGCTGCAGAAGGCTTAAAAGAGAATTCTGGAGAGGGTTAAGAGACTGGAGTGCAGGCCTTTTCCTTACTGTTGGAAAGATAGCATCTGAAACTGAGGTGCTGTTGACCTTGAAGGCTAGGTAAGGTGACCTCCATGTCTGCATTTTCTCTGGGCGACAGTCTTCTGTCTCAGGAGAATAAGGAAACATGTTTTCCTCACAACCTGTTATGGCTTTGATTGTACTATTAATATAGATACTTCTTTTTTTTTTTTTTTGTCGGCCGTGGGGCTTGAACTCTGGGCCTGGGCGCTGTCCCTTAGCTCTTCAAGGCGAGTGCTCTACCACTTGAGCCACAGCGCCACTTCCAGTTTTCTGGTGGTTATTTGGAGATAGGAGTCTCACAGTCTCTCCTGCCCGGGCTGGCTTTGAACCGCGATTCTCAGATCTCAGCCTCCTGAGTAGCTAGGATTACAGGCGTGAGCCACCAACACCTGGCAGATACTTCATTTTTGCATGTTATCAAAGGTAATCTTCCCAGTGTGCACTCAAGGAACTATAGGAGCTTTCTGGCGCCCAGGGACAAAGTGCCAGAGAG